GCCCCGGCGGTACACCGCCGACGGCTGCTACTGCGGCATCGGTGGCTCCCACTGGCCGGTGGACCAGACCGACTGGTGAGGAGGGGCCGACAGGGGCCTGTCTAGGGGGTGAGCATCCTGGGAGCGGGTAGGGTAGACAGTGGGGGCTGACCCCTCCTCTGAGCTCCTTTGGCTGCCTCAGGCAACTCCTGCCCCAGTCCAGATTGGCTCATGGGACCCTCCAGGTTGACCTTTGCCCCCTGTAGGTGCTGCCACGCCCACGACTGCTGCTATGGGCGGCTGGAGAAGCTAGGCTGTGAGCCCAAACTGGAGAAGTACCTCTTCTCTGTCGGCAAGGACAACATCTTCTGTGGTGAGTGGGTAGTCTGGGGTGACCCAGACACTGAGTGTGGGGCGTGAGGGGTTGCTAAGGACAGAGAGCTCCTCCTGATGGTGCCCTCAGGCCTCATCAGGGCCAGAGACAGGGCTAGGATTGGGTTTCCATCCTTAGTGATGGGGAGGCCCATCACCTGCCCAGATGCTCGCCTGACTCCTGGGTAAGGAAGCCCTGGCCCATGGGTGCAGCCTTTGGTTCCTGCCTTGGGCTCAGGCTCCTCATTCCCTCCCAGAGCCACCTCCTAGGTCCAGCCTCTGGGGAGAAGAGCTGGACTCACACCCTCCCCAGGGCCTGGGCAGGAGCCAGGGCAGTGAGCTGGAGCTTGGTTTGAGACCGAGACCCCCTCCCACAGGCTGAGTCCCCGAGGGGCTGTCTGGCTAGACCACCTGCTCAGCTCTGCCACTCCCGGTGACCATGTGGACAAACACAGGAAACGGGAGCCGGGGCCTGACAGCCAGGCTCTCCTCCTTCCTGCTGCAAAGCCAAAAGCAGCTGGAGAGAGGGCAGGCCCAGGGCCGTGGGGTACAGGAAAAGGACAGGACTCAGCTCGGATCTTTCAGGCCTGTCCCAGGGGGGGAGAGCCAGGACAGATCCAGAGTTGCCTCAGAGTTTCTTGACCCTGCAGCTGTCCGCTCACCACGGCAGCTTTGCTGGGTAGTGAACTTCCGGTCTCAGGGTTCATGCAAGGCCAGGATGGCGCCGAGGGTGAGTGAGGGGAGGCGTCAGGTGGGTGGGGACACAAGCTCTGGGCTCTACTCAGAGCTTTACCTTTGACCTGCTGAATGACTTGGGGTGAGTGACATAACCCCTAGAAAGCCTCTGCTTACTCATCTATAAAACAAGGGTAATCACACCTGCTTCCCCAGTGCAGGCCAGCTTCTGGCAAGAACCCCCCGAAGAGGTTGACTAGCACGTGCTAAGCCCTTTCCGACTCTGAGTTGTGCTGATGTGGGCACAAGCTTTGGTCCCACCCCGACCACAAGGTGCTGTGGTCTCATAGCTTGTCCCCCTGCCTGGTGCTGCTGTCCACCCAGGGGGTGGGTGCAGCTGCCTGGAAAGCCCCTGTGCTGGGCCAGGTGAGAGCTCTATGGAGCCTGGAGGCCTGCCTGGGCAGGAAAGGGCTGAGGGCAGTCAAGGCCGGGGCCGGGGCACATTCCAGCCGTCCCAGGGTGCTGGCCCTTGTCTCTCACCCAGCCCTGAAACACCCCATGAGCACAGGCCCCTTCAGAAAGGGGGTGAGAAAGTGGACAGCAAGGCTCTGTCATTGTTCCTGCCAACGCGTCCTGAGCCTTCTGGTCCCTGACTCCTTGTCCCATCAGCCGGCAGAACCACCTGCCAGAGGCAGACCTGCGAGTGCGACCGGAGGGCTGCACTCTGCTTCCGCCGCCACCTGGGCACCTACAACCGCAAGTACGCCCACTACCCCAACAAGCTGTGCACCGGGCCAACCCCGCCCTGCTGAGGCTGCAGCCCTCCCAGGCCTGGGAGCCCTGGCGCCAAAGGCCCTCCCTCTGGAAAACCCCCTTCCTGCAAATCCATCCCTCCCTGTGAGCTCCGGGGCTGTGGTCTAAAGCATCCCTCACCTCCTAGAGCACCTCTGCTCCTTCAGAAGAGCCCTGGCCCTGAAGTCGCGGCACACTTCAGCTCCTCTGTAGAAGGCCCTGCGACTGTCCCTGGGGTCTCGGCTCCCTCTTCTGAATAAGGACAGAATGTTTTCCTATCGTTCCATATCTTCGACTCCCGGAGTCCACCACTCTAGGACTTATTCGTCTATAGTCTCATTCATTCATTTTGAGCATCTACCATGTGTCACCAACGTGCTAAGGACGGAGTGCAGCGGAAAAAGTCTGACGTGGGTGCAACAAGTCCACCACTCCATCCTTGCAATTTTCCATGGCAGTAAGTTTCTGCAGTTCTTTTTCCTATAATCGTAACCAACACAATAATGGCAATTTCCAGAAGAAACAGGCCATATGGTTGAATGTGAGAAGCATGAAAATGACCAACCTAAAACTATTGTCCCACTATGTCATCAGGCCTCAAATCTTCCCTGTGAGCTAGACCGGTTAGGAGTGAAAGCCGCGCCAGGTCACCTTAGCCAAAGCCTTCCTTTGACAGGTGGGTGTCTGAGGCCAGAGGGGAATGTCCTGCCCCACAGGGCATCCTCCATTTATTCCTGATGCTGTGCTAGGACCAGATTACTCAGACCCTCTGGCTGTCATCTTGGAAAGACCAGAAGCCCAGAGCAGGGGCGCTGCAAGGACACACACCTGAGTCAGGCTTCTGCTCCAGGGACAGGAGGAGGAACTTCGGCATCTCTGGTCAGCTCCAACCTCCCGATGCTGGCGCCATGTAGGGTTTAACACACTAAGGTCTCCCACCAGGAGCAATGCCTCCCACTCTGGAGGCACTCCTCTTCAGCAGCTTTGACTCCCACCCGGGGATGGTAACACGCCGATGAAACGCCGGGCCGGGATGAGCCTCCACTGAGATGAGAACGTGGAATGCATCGCACGGGCAAAGCTCGCAGTGATGCTCAATTAATGTCCACTCCCTTTATCCTTTTCCTGGAGCATGTGAGCCATTCAGGACTTTGAGGGCAGGAAGGGGCACGAGATAGCAAAGGGATGTGTCATCATGAACTTTAAAAGGCAAAGCTCTGGGCTAGCATCAGCGTAGAGGTGGGGGGTCAGGTGTGTGAGCTTTGATGTTGCAACTGACCTGAATCCTTGTCAGAGATTCACCACAAGACAAGACTTAAAGCAAAATGAATTGTATGGGGAAGTGGCTGACCTTAATTCATCAGGAAGAGTGGTCCTGGGGCGCCCTCTGGTGTCTATTTCACGCATGTTACTAGGAAGATGTCTAACCGGTACATCTGGATTTCCCTCTACTGGGTAGGCAAAGTTTACTGGTGCGGCTGGTGAAATTGGCCCCCTCACATTTTCAGTAACAAATGCTGAGCAATCACCATAGAAAGTCTAACACCATCTTAGTATGACTCTGCCACTGCAGAAATAGGCAACACAGGACGAAAGCTGATTCGGGTGGGGCGAAGGGAGGTTATGTTGTGGACATGCCGGGTTTGAATTCCATTAAGGCATGAATGGAATGATCTCACAGTTGCATAACCATCCAAGAAGGTGAAGTTTAAATTGGGACTCAGAAACAAGCCCCTGGTGCAGCATCCCCCCCAGCCCCCCAACAAGACCATGAACCCTCTGGATACAGACCAGATCTTATCTTTTGCTTCCCTGGGGCTCAATAAATGTTCAGTGAATGAATTGAGGGGACTGCATCAATTCTGTTGGCAGGTGGTGTGTTCACACACAGAGCCGCCGTCCAGCTGCAGACGGGGAAGGACTGAGAGAAGGAAAGGAGAGCCTTGAACTCAGCAGCAGTGGGCCTGCTGGAGGCTCGCTGTGTGGTTCAGGAATCTTGTTAGAAAGGGAGTCTTGTTGGGGCTGGCAGGTGGCATGGTGGTTAAGGGCGCTGGACTCCCACATGGGCGACCACAGTTCGAGTCCCGGACCTGGTGGTTTGCTCTCTCTCTCTCTCTCTCTCTCCAAATTAAAATAAATAAGCAAATAAATAAAGCTAAATAATTCTTAAAAAAAAAAAAAAGAAAAAAGAAAAAAGAAAGAAAGAAAGAAAAGAAAGAAAGGGAGTCTTGAGGGTCAGCAGGTGGTGTAGTGGCTAAGGCGCTGGACTCTCACATGGTTGACCATGGTTCAAGCCCTGGATCAAGCAGCTTGAAAAATCTCACTAGGCATGTGTGCGTGGGTGCCTGGAATCTTGAGAGGAGAATGAAGGAGAAGGGACTGCAGCATGGCCATCCCCCCTGAGGGGTAATTTCTCACCTTCCTTCTCTCTGTCTCTCTGGCAAGCATCCATGCCTGATGGCAAAAACCAAAAAAAAGAAAAAGTCTTGAACCTACCCCCAGACTGCTGAATCAGAATCTGTGGGTTAACAAGACCCTGGGGTGATTCGCGTGCACATTAAAATCTAAGATGTATGGTCCCAGCCTCGGTTTCTGCATTTGTAAAAGGGGACCACATTTCCCCAGCAAGTTGGTTGTGGCATGGTTTAGACAAGTTAGCAAGGGTGAGAGCACACACATAAGCGCTCATGCTCTGTGAGTGAGTGTCGTAATAACAACGCTAGCTAGACCCCAGCGTTTACCGGGCACTGTTCTAGGTGCTCTGTGTATTCATTCACTGGGAGGGTGGTGGATGGATGACTGCCACCCCAACGCTGTTCCACAGCTTCCCTCTCTAACTCTGATGACGGGATCTGGATTGTTTTTGCTCTTGTTCCTACTTAGTCCCCAACTAAAGCAATGCATGACGTGCTCAATTAAATAACCTGCTAAATAAGCAGCTAGAAACCACACTGGAATTCCTGAAGTAACTTAAGAGTCTGATTATTTCTTGGGCATTCTCCTGCTTCTCTGGGGTTCTTCGCAGTGTCTGGAGACACTGGAGAACAGACTAATTTATTAAGTTCATTCTTTCCTTTAGTTTTATACAAACTGCTTCCAGCTTTTTGCTGGATGCTGGAGACAGAGACAAATCAGCTATGGCTGACTGGCAGGTAAAGGACACGCTTTCTACACTAGTCAGTGCTGTGACAGGTAACAGAGAATGAGGACCAACGTTCTTAAGCCCTCCACCTTCCATCCTGTTGCCACCCTGCCCCCAACGCCAGCATCTTTCCCCACAGCTGGACTTCCATCATGCCACTCCTCTGCCCTAAACTATCAGTGGCTCCCCCTCGCCCACAAGCTCCTAGCAGTCATGTGCTTCCCAGCCTCTTTTATCTATCCACGTCCTCACCTTCCCCAGGACGTGCCCGCGGCTTTCCTGCCTTCACACCGTTTTGTGTAATAGCTTCCCTCCTCCTCATAGCGGCCCTAGTTCCCGGGCTCATCAATCACAGTGCTAAAACCCTCACGCTTCAAGTGCATCTCGGGTGCCACCTTTCCCATAATGCTTTTCCAGCTGGAGCCCCTTTCAGACTCCTCTCAACTGCCAAGCAGTGTTCATACCTTTCTCAGGAGCGCTTACTTGGGTACTTGTTTTGGACTATCATATGGCAGAGGCAGACAGCCCTGGGTGCAAATCCTGCCTTTGCCACCCATCTGTGATCTTGGGCCCCTTATTCCTTCACGTGTAAGCGGAGGATGGAGCCATCAGCCTTGCGGAGTGGCTTCAAGGCTTAAAGGAGATGGTATATTTGAAGTCCCTGGGGCATTGCAGATACCCCATCTGCGGGGTCACTTTCTCTATTTTTGTCTCTCCAACAGCACTCATCACTTAGATGCTAAACACAGTAAATCCCACTGTGCATAGTTCCACTTTCTGGGGTTTCAGATACCTGCAGTCCACGGCAGTCCAAAAGTATTAAATGGAAAATTCCCCAGACAATTCCTGAGTTTTTAATTGTGCACTTTTCAAAAAGTGTGATGAAATTTTGTGTCATCCCATCTGTCCTGCTTGAGGGTGCAACTCACCCCTTCGTCTAGTGTGCCTGTCCACAGGTGGCTGTCTCAGGTACGGGAGTGGGAACACACGGGGACCAGTACTTCCCAGTACCAGGCTGCCTTGTGGGTGAGATTCCTGTGGGTGCCTGCAGTTAGTCCTGCGGGTACATGACCATGGGACATGTGTTAGGGAAGAAGCATCCTACATATGGTAACATAAGGGTATTTCATAAAGTTCATGGAAAAATGAAGTTAAAGTACGGGTTTATTTTGGTGCAAAAAACTTTTGGAATCCATACATAGCTTTCTCATAACAGCATCTTCCATTAACTTGTAGAAGTCACACACACACACACACACACACACACACACACACTGTAACAATTTACTCAAATAGCTTCTTGGCTCACTCCCATCTGAGTGCTCCTCATCCATCTTAAATGGACACGTGTTTGAAAACCGTTAACTGTCAGTGCCCCTGAGCTGGTGCTTACCAAAGAGGTCAAACTGGCCAGACAGACAGAGAAGGCTGCTCGAACTTTGCAGGTCAGGGTCACACGGAGGCCAAATCCAGACACTTTGGTCAACCTGGATGAAGTACATTTGATCTTTTTTTTTTTTTCCTATAGGGCATGTGCAGGACAGAGAGATAAAGAGACAGAGACAGAGATGACAATGCCACAATCCCTTCTACTCCTTTCTCAGGATTTTTAGGTATGCATGCACATGCGCCCCAGCGTGAGTTTTAAGTTGCCAGATCCAGGGCTCAAACTGTGCCATCCGCTGGCCCCAAACACACCTGATCTTTACGATGCAGTAAGTAAGCACAGCAATTAGCAAAGGCATATGACTAGTGTTTGGAGAAATTCCCAGTCTTTCTCCAAACCGTAACCCTCCTTTTTACAGACTCGGTCTTTCTCTGTTGTGATCCTCCCACCTCAACCTCCTCCCTGAGTTGTTGGGATTATGGGCAGGCACGACTTCCAGTCTTTAGGCTGGACCAGGAATCAGCCCTGGTCCTCACGTGGCCCAACCTGTGGAGCACTGAGTTAGCAGTGCACACCACTACGGCTGGCCCCAAGTGTGAACCCTTAAATACATTGCACTAAACTGGGTCATCTCACCCCAGACTTTGCTTATGCTGTTCCTTCAGACCAAAGTGCCTTGGCTCTGTACTTCTGCACCCTCTCTCCCCTTTCATGCCTGGCCCAGAGACTCCTCCTCTACCCATCCTTCCTACTTTCTCGGAACTCACAGGTCTCTCACCAGCACCTCCTCTGGAAACGTGGGGCAGTTACATAGTTACTCATTCCTCAACTGGAAGCTCTTTAAGGACAGGGTCTGTGTCTGTTCCAATGCCCAGAAATAAGGACTTACACACAGAAGAGGTTCAGTAAATGTTGGGTGGATTCTAGGATGTCTTGATAAATAAAAACTAAATTATCCAAAGGCCAGTCCTGGAGCCTTGTGGGAACTGGATCCCACAAGGCAAACTGTGGTTCAAATCTCAGCCCAGTAG